ACAAGGGACTGAGAGAGACAAGGGACTGAGAGAGACATGGGACTGAGAGAGACAAGGGACTGAGAGAGACAAGGGACTGAGAGAGACAAGGAACTGAGAGAGACAAGGAACTGAGAGAGACATGGAACTGAGAGAGACAAGGGACTGAGAGAGACAAGGGACTGAGAGAGACAAGGAACTGAGAGAGACAAGGAACTGAGAGAGACAAGGGACTGAGAGAGACAAGGGACTGAGAGAGACAAAGAAATGCGATCACATTTTTCAATCCACATCTTGTATATATGTAACTTCAGTTAGTCTGATGATGATCTTGAAATGAAATCGAAATATCACAAACTCATTCTCATCTTGTTTTGACTCCCATCTTGAGGTTCAAGATACTAATCTTCGGATTGTATTTTGTTTTTCACTTTTTGACATTGGCAGCTGGTATTGGTTTTTAATCATTAGTCTTACCCGAAGCCCTCGTGGTCCACCCAGTCCAACCTCACCATCTGATCCACCATCACCCTAAACATAAAATACTCTCTTATGTCTTAATCGATAAGATTACCCCTGGTAATCTTATCGATTAAGACATAAGAAATGAAACAAACAAATTTGTTTTGAAAGAAACAAATTAAATGAAAACATAACTTTCACCTCAATTCATGCAATCATTTATCTGATCAGAGAATCTAGTTTGAATATAACCTCACGAGCATTGGCTGAGTTAAATACCTAAATTAGCCTGAATCGAATCTCCAACTGCTTGGTACTAGGATTGATGTTTCGTGTCAGACAAATAACACTGATTGACTATGACCCAGGGAAACAGTATGTTTTGTGGACTCGGTATATAATCATTCTTGGATACGAGCTAAGGTATTCTGACAAAAGTGTGACTTACTTTCTCGCCCCTAGTTCCCTTCTCTCCTGGAGGTCCGGCGTAACCAATTACACCAATAATTCCTGGAGGTCCTTGATCCCCCTGAATACCGAAATCACCAGGCATACCCTACGAAATAATTTAGATGCAAAGAATGGAATACGAAATTAGTGTCATATACGAGTTGGGAAATCTCGCACGCTGTTTAGCTATTTTGCGATCCGGAAAAGGCAGCTTCTCAAGAAATAGAAACAGGAACAGCCTTTTTTGTCCTTTTCAGGAACAGTCCTTTTTCTTGTTTGAGATCAGGAATTGTTTTGCATTGCGTCCTATTTTGTTATTTTACTCTGTTTACGATTTCACTCGTCCACGACGATTTTACTCGTGAACGAGGTGAGCGCTGGCACTCAATGGTTAATCAGACTATCTGCTCATGTGTCTAGTTAACTCATTGAGTTGCATTGCGCCCTGATACACACTATTTTGTTATTTTACTGTCATACGAAAGACGATTTTGCTCATCAAGCGGAGAGTGCTAGCGCTCAATGGGTTAATAATTAAAGGATAAAGAATGACGAGAGAGATTTATAGCGTAGTCGTGGTACTAAACTAATAAGATGGTTAAACAACGATAAATATACCTTGAATCCAACTTTACCATTGACGCCAACTGAACCTGGCGGACCGGGAGGCCCCTGGATGAAGATATTAAACATACATTAGACCTAACCAGGAGTGAAAAATGCTATCTTTGACTCCTGACAGATATAAATGTATAAAATTTACTTCCGAAATTTTCATCTACAAAAC